AACTCTAGTATGTCTGAGGAAACGCACGATGCTGCAACCCTAGGCCCCATTGCCATTCAATCCGCCGTTGTAGTCTCAGGCGCCCTAGGCTGGGTCCTAACTATATCCCTATGTTTCTGTCTCACGGACTTCGATGCCATCCTTAACACGCCTACCGGTCTCCCCGCAGCCCAAATATTCCTCAACGCGGGAGGTCAAACCGGCGGCATGATCATGTGGGGTCTTGCTGTCCTTGTCCAGCTATTCACAGGGTGTTCAGCGATGCTCGCGGACACCCGAATGGCCTACGCATTTGCTCGTGACGAGGCCCTTCCATTCTCATCGTATTCTCCCCCGAACCGATAACCTACCTACCGAACATAGCTAATCCAACACAGCACGCTGTCCAAAATAAACTCCCTAACCCAAACCCCCGTCAACGCCGTTTGGTTCGTCGTGCTCTTTAGCATCGCCCTAAACTGCATTGCAATCGGATCCACGCAAACCGCAACAGCAATCTTCTCCATCACCGCTCCAGCGCTCGACCTCTCCTACGTCTCCGTTATCCTTGCGCACCAAATCTACAAGCACCAAGTCGGCTTCGTAGAGGGCCCGTTTACGCTGGGACGTTGGAGGAGCTACGTCAACTGGGTGTCGATCCTCTGGGTGCTGTTTATTAGCACGGTCTTGTTCTTCCCGCCTAGGGTTCCGATTACGCTGGAGAATATGTATTGCCCCTCCTCCGCTTTTCCCATCTGGTTTTTTTTTTTGTTTGTGTGCTGACCTGGTTTCGATAGGAATTATGCGATTTGTGTTGGAGTCTTTATTGCCGCTTTTGCGCTGGTATGGTGGTGGGTTGATGCTAGAGGGTATGTATATCTAAATCCCGTCTCATTTCAATCACTCTGCTATCTATATTTGGGGTTCGCTATATGGATGCTAACGATATGTAGGAAGTACACCGGGCCGCGCACGAATGAGTATCTACAGGAAATTCCCACGGAAGATTATCCGGAGGATTACGGGACTATTGAGTAGTTCCATGAATGGAATACCAATACTACGCGATTATAGAATTATTGGCTTTGCGAAGACGGGATACATTTGGATACGGCAATGTTAATGTGTAGTGCATAGAAGATTGTCATCGATAGTACATCTTAGTTCATGAAGTAAATAGACTCATAGAGGTATATAAAGTACATGAGGTTGACAGGAGATCATCTTCCCCTTTGTTAGATGTCCGCATTAAACAAGATTAACTCCCTGCTACAATAGCAAGCCCCTCGTAGATCTTACGCTTAACCGCAAGAAAACTTCCTGCGCCCTGAGCAATCGCCGCATTCGGTGACGCTGGGTAAGCAGCTGCCTCAATCTCGATTTTACCAGTACCGGACTTCCGTACGGCCACCATGCGGTCGATGAGGAGCGTTCCCTCACCGCGGAACTCCGCTGTGTGGCCCGCACCTTGCATAATTTTGCGCAGATCCGCTAGACGAAGGTCACCGACATGAAGCGGGCGAGTCATCGACCTTGTTCCCGAGACCATGTTCACTGGGAGGACGTCGAGAATCGGGTGGACCTCGGTTTTTTCTCCCGCCCCTTGCGCCTCCGTGGTTTGCGATGTAGGTTTCTCGGCCGCGGTATCTTCGACGAGTTTCTGTTTTTTGTTGGGTGAATCGGTCGTGTCTTGCTCGGCAGGTAAAGGCTCCGGGGCCTTCAACTGGCCTGTCAAAGTGACAACGCCGAGAGCTCGAACGTGCTGCCATTTGAGTCGCCGCACGAGGTTATTGCTTAACTTGACTGTCCAAGCGCTCGTGTCGACACTGGCATCGACGATTTCCTTGTTGGCTGGTGTAAATATAACCGAAGCGGTTGCAGAGGACGCATCTACACCGGTCTTTGCAACCAAGAGCTTCTGGCATTCAGTCGCTAAAGCCATCGTTTCCTCCTTCATTCCACCTACGAGGATCAACTTTCGTGGTTGGATGAGGGGTATCAACATCTCCAGGCTTCGCTTATCGTGAATGCCAGTAAAGTCCACGAACGCAAGGCGAGCATTAATGGTGAGCGTCGCCTTTTCATAAGTCGCCTTTGCAGGTCCTTCAAACGCCTGTTCCTCCGGTTCATCTGGGGCTGCGGCCTCGGCGTCGTCGCCGTCTTCGGTCAGACTAAAGCTATCGAGCATCTCTGCATCCTTTTTGCTTGCACTTTCAGAACCTTGTTTTCTGCCTGCTGGTCCACCGACGGATTGGGTTTCGTCCCATCGGCGTTTCTGGCCCAATTTAAGCTGTGTTTCGGTTCTGCGCTGCTGCATATCGATCTCCTCACGCTCTTCGGCACGCAAGTATTCCTCAGGCCGAATGATCTCTCCATATTCGTCGCCCCTCTTTCTTGGTGCCACGTAGGGGAACATTCGCTCCCGTCCCTTCTTTCCTCGGACGTCGTAGTCATAGACATTCTTCCGTCGAAGTAGGACGTTAACACCGAGATCCTCGTCGGTTAATCCCAGTTTATTGCGGTTCGCATGAGCTATAGATGTCGAGAAGTTCAGCACTCTTCCCTGTTGCTCGGGATCCGAGTCCTCAGACGAAGAGCTGGAGCGGTCATCCAAGACATCAGCAGCAGTATCAAGGTTTTCTTGGCCCCTTGTTTGGGCTGTATCCTGGAATTGCCGTTTGGTGGCAAGGTATTGTTGATATAGAAGCTGTTCTCCCGATTCAAGCGGTGCACGTTGTACATCTGTCCATGACAGTTCCCTTCCGCCACTATGAACCTGTTCGAGCATCTCGCCGTCGGATACCTTTTCCAAAGCAACCCCATCCTGCCTTTCTTCGTACCACTGCCAGATCATGTTACCAAGGGTCCTCCGATGAGACTCATCTTGTTTATCGGAAACTTTGCGATGGTGAAGTGGATCCGTCAGTAACAGAAGGTTGTTGTCCCCGCCAGCCAGTAATCGCAAAGATTCTTTCGCAAACCCCCAGTCTAACGATGAGTCGGACGCAAGGATTACTTTCGGCGTTGGATCGCTAAGTAGCTTCTCAAGTTTCTTCTTCCGCTCAATCGTCCTCAGATGCTTAAACGTGAAGGGGCCAAGGCCCTTGCCATCCTTACCCTGGCGGGTGTCGTTGGATCGCTGCCCATCGGTATTTGATTGTTGGCCACCGGTGGTATCTGCAGCCTCAGCTGCCTCGAACTCCCGCACGATGCTCTCGTCCATCCATTCCAGCATACTCCGCGCGAGTCTCATGGTCGTGTTGACTTTTCGGCCAGCCAAAAACAGCCCGCCTCTTTTCAAAACATCATCCTGAGTATCCTTGGCAGCATCGCGCCATGCATGCTCCAATGCATATGCCAACTCAAGCACCCGTGCGCTTGTGTCTGTGGGGATAAGCACCGTGCCGCCTTTGACAAGCGTACTCCTGATCATATCCAGAAGCATCTCATCACGCTTCTTCCTGCCACCATGAAGGGCAAACTTATCGCCGCCGCGAGTACTGCATATTAATGCCGTGGGTTTCCGCAATTGCTCTATCACTTCTGTCCCGCTCGCACCCGATCCTCCAAACCATGCCGCACCTGCCACGACACTTTCTCTAGCTTGGTTCCAGTCAACGGCATAAACAATAGACTCCATTCCGTGTTGAATGTGCCATATTGTTCCACCCACTGTGTGACCAGCATTATAGGCAGTAAGTGTAAGACCGTTGAGCGGTGGTGAAAAGGGGGACGGGGTGGGCTGGTGGGATTGTGAGTATTTCAACGGTTGAATGAGAGAGAAGTATCGAGCAATCTCTTCGGTAGTCGGGGGCTGCAATAAGATGCGCGAAGCGTTAACCGGCTCTGTGCTCCCATCTACCTCCGTTACAGATGCGGCTGAGGCAGCCGCTGTTGAAGCACCGGGTTCAGAAATAGAGGCCTTGGGCAAGAACGTCGCAGCGAGGGGCGCGGATTCGTACAAATCCTGGAGGAGTGTGCGACCCAGTGCGATGACAGGGCCTGTCGCATATACGGGGATCTGTGTGAAAAGAGGGAAGGTCTTGCAGCAATGAACGTAGGCACCGATGTGCGAAGGTGTCGCGTGAGTCAGGAGGATTAGCGAAAGTGTAGGGATATGTCTAAACGAACGAAACAAGGTCAGTACTCCATATTCCACGCGGGTAATTCGAACAAAATGCGGAGCGGATATGCGTACTTCTCCAATTCCACCAAATCGAGGGGGTCAAACGTATCATCCCAACCCACATCCACAAGGATTTTTATTCCATCATCTAATTCCAAAATTGACTGAGACGCCTTGGAAGCCGACGATTGGGCTCCAAGTAATGGGGTAAAAGTAAACATATTTGCATGAGCTGTCGACCCAGCAAAGCTTCACGACGCGGTCGACAGATGTGTCCTGGTTCAAGGCATCGGTTCTACCAGACAACCAGCGAAAAGTCAATTCAAGTTTGAGTGCCCTGTTTCAGCGCACTCCGTCCTCAAAATGGAGAGGAAGAATGACAATGGGCGGCGTGAAAGAAAGGAAGCCGACGAGAGACAGCCATATGGCAGCACAAGAAAGCCGGGTGAAACAGTGCCGTTTGATGTGTTTGCATAGTCTGATGGAATATTGATTTTCCGGCGTGGCTCGCACGTTTTGCCAAGCCCGCCCATCAGGTGATTTCCGGCGGCCTCGGGGCCCGGGAAGGCTCTCCCCAGCCTATACCAAGAGTGAAGCACCAATCAAGGGTTGTAAGCTCTAAACTACGTTGCATAAGCACGATATGGTTTACATGTCTGTCTGCTAAGTAGTGGGTCACTAAGTCAACAAAATAGAATGCAGCACTAAATACTTCAGCCCCTAATGGGAGTCACCGCAAGCTTTATATATTCTCATAGCCCTAGATAGCAAACAATTTAATATATCGATTCTTCAATTATTACCATTCATGCACATAGGTATAACTAACAGCGTTTTTCTTATACGTTATATGCCCTAATCTAACCTTCTTCTTATATGTCGAGTGCGAACCAACATGCCATCAACATCAAGTACAGACAATTGCACCCATGTCACACCCGAATGCCCAATTAACGCACACTTATATGGCTACGCACCAAACCTCGCAGCGAACATCTTCTTTGTTGTATTCTTTGTCCTAGGCACCGTCTTTCACCTGATGGCCGGAATCTACTACCGCACCTGGTCCTTCATGGTAGCCCTAACATTCGGCTGCCTCTGCGAAGCCGTCGGTTATGTCGGCCGAGTAATGATGCACTACAACGTTTGGAACAAAGCTGGATTCCAGATTCAAATTACATGTCTTATCTTAGGTCCTTCGATCCTAGCAGCTGGCGTGTACCTAACGCTCAAACACATTGTGCTCAATATCGATCAGCGATTCTCCCGACTCAAGGCACATTGGTACACTTGGATCTTCATCTTCTGTGACCTCGTCTCTCTAAATATCCAGGGTGGAGGCGGCGGAGTAGCTGGTGATGCAGATAGCGGGAGTTCAGACTTGAAAAGAGGCACAGATATTATGATTGGCGGTATCGTTTTTCAAGTCGTTGTACTAATCTTCTTTGGCTATTTTCTGATCGAGTACTTTGTTCGTGTATACCGACATCGCCATCAACTCGGACCCGAGCCTCTCACAACCTTGGGATCACGCCGCTTCCAGGGATTCATGGGGGCTGTTGTTCTCTCATACTTGACCATCTTTATTCGATCCGTGTATCGAATCCCAGAGCTCATTGGCGGCTGGGGCAATGAGCTGATGAAGAATGAGACCGAATTCATTATCCTCGAGGGGGTCATGATATGCTTGGCCACACTATCTCTCACTGTTTACCATCCTGGCTGGTGCTTCCCTGCTATGGCTGGTTGGATACGTGAAAATAAAGCAGAGGGTAAGACACATCTTTTGATATGCGATGCGGCCCGATTAATCGAGTATAGCTAACTTTCATGCACTTCAGGGCAGGAATTGGAGGAAACCCGATTGGCAACGGTGGCATAACACAGAATGTCCCATGAGATACTGGAAGTATAAATGCTCAGGATAGATTTGGTGTTGCGTTCATGGTTTCATTTCCATATCTTGTTAATCAGCAAAGAGACTGCTTTATCCTGAACAGTAGATATAGTTCAAATAGAATGCGTACTTGACCTATTTTCCTTTACCAATATCACTTCAAAGTGCTCCTGCAGGTGTGAGGGATGGCTTATATTAGCACCGAGCACAAGCCCTAACTGGGCAGTGCCCATTTCCAACTGAAAAAACAGAACCAGATATATAGGTATGTAGCCCGTTTGAAAGAAAAGTGTGACAAACATTGTCTGTTGGAGGACATAATTATGGAGTCAAGATCACAAAACTCGAAAATCTGTGTCTCTAAGACCTTTCTAGGTTCGACCTTGCAGTGGGCGTCTTACCGATGCAAGATATTTCGCATCTCCAGAATCCCAGTGAAACTGTTGCTTCTCAGAAACAGTGTCCTATTTGGCAAACATGGGGCTGTGTGTCATCCCTGATCTGATAGCCCGATCGATCACTGGGAAGCGTGAAGGTAGCCTCACAAGGCCCTTTTTTTGCATTAAATAATAAATGTGGCTAGATCCATGAAGCCACTAAGAACGATCTTGTTGAATATGACAGTCAGGGTTGGTCTCGGCGGGTGTCATCAGGGTGTTATTCGGGCAGCTACGTGCTTAGGCAGTGGTCGCAAACGCTGAGGGCATGGAATCTGTACCGCCCGTTGAGAGTGAATATGGTGCAATTAATCAAAAATGGGGCTGTTTAATAAAGGTCCCTTTGGTAAATGTATTGTATGATGTGAAGTCGGACTTCACTATTCACTTCAATTATGATGAATCTGGCGCGCTTCAGTCAATATAAATCTACCTCAAGATTCTCGAAACTTATTCTCTCATCCATATCCTTTCGACCCTGCTCTTCCTGCTAACTCAGGTTTTTGTCATTTCAGCTCGAAATCACTCAATCACTCACTATCTTACCAACAGTGAATTCTTCAGGACGATGAAGTACCTGACAAAGGTCCTTCTTGCCGGGTGCACAGCATCCCAGGCTGTGGCCTTGCCTCACAAATCTCGTGCTGAAGAGTTACAATCCTCTCTCAATAAATTGGGGGTGGACGCCTCTAAAATTCCCCAGTTGGGGACCAACTCCACAGACAATCATTGCCAGAGCGCTGTAAGTTTTTGAGAACCATCAGACACCGCGAGATCCCAATACTGACATCTTTCTTTCCAGTGCGAAGCATTGCATGAGATTTATGGCGAGGATAGCTTGATCGCTCAAAGCACTTCTGCCTACCAGGATGTCACTGGGTCTTACTGGTCGGCCCAGCAAGGAGAGGTTAAGCCATCGTGCATCTTCGTGCCTAAGGTCGACACTGATGTCTCGGTCGCCGTGCTCATTTCTCAGCTCACACAATGTCCGTTTGCTGCTAAAAGTGGCGGCCATGCTGCGTTTGCCGGGGCATCAAGCATCCAGGGAGGTATCACGATACTGTTGCGCGACCTCAACAAGATCACTCTCAACAAGGACAAATCTGTTGCCTCCATCGGTCCTGGAAACAACTGGGGCCAGGTCTACAAGGCCTTGGAACCCGACAATCTTGCCGTCGTGGGTGGTCGCTTGTCCGATATTGGCGTTGGAGGTCTGGTTACCGGTGGTGGCATATCTTATTTCTCCAACTTGTATGGCTGGGCTTTGGATAACGTGGAAAGCTTCGAGGTTGTGAGTGCAAAAACAGGCGATATTCTCACAGCGAGTAAATCCGAAAACTCAGACCTCTATTGGGCTTTGCGTGGAGGTGGGAACAACCTCGGTCTCGTCACCAAGTTCAATCTATACACAATCCCCAGCTCGTTACTCTGGGGCGGCACCCGGGTCTACAGTGAAGATCAATTTTCCAACGTCATTGGTGCGTTCGTCGACGCTGCAAAACAGGCAAAGGATGACGGAAATGCCCAGCAATATGTCATGTTCGCAAATATGCAAGGAACAAATATTGCTTCCGCGGAGTTAACTTACACGAAGGACGAGAGCAACCCCCCTATCTTCAACAAATACTATTCAATCCCTTCAGTCTCAAATTCAACAAGCACGCGGACCCTGTCCAAATATTGTGATGACATGGCTGCTCAAGACCCTTACGGCATGCGTGAGGTTTTCTGGACCCGGTCGTTCAAGCTGGACGAGAAGTTCGCGAATTGGTTGGTCAAGAACTGGTTCTCTGTTCTTCCTCGCATTTCTGGCATACCAAACAGCATGGCAGGTCTGACCTTCCAGGTCATCACCGACCCCATTCTAGAGAAAATGTCCCAAGCCGGCGGAAACGCCTTGGGACTGGATGGCGCGGACGGCCCAATTCTTTTGACGCACATCCTCGGCATGTGGAACAGTCCCTCGGATGACGATAAAATCTATCGCTTTATCAATGATTTCTTCGTCACTGCCGTTTCCGAGGCAGAGAAGCGGGATCTAGATCATGACTTCATTTACATGAACTATGCGAGTAGTTTCCAGGACGTGATCCCCAGTTATGGCGCGAGCAACAAGGCCAAGCTGCAGTCCATTGCGTCAAAATACGACCCCGAAGGGGTCTACCAGAAGCTTCAGCCTGGTTATTTCAAGTTGAATCACGGACCAGAGGAGAACCCTTATTGACCGGCTGTCATATGGCTTAAGTAGATTGTGTGATGGTTTTTTTGAATCGTCGTGGTGATAGATAGTGTGAATAGACTGATGAGTTATGATTAGCCTGAAGCAAAAAAAAAAAAAAAAAGAATTTCATCTTGTTCCAAAATTGAACATGCCCGGCAAATGGCAGGGCGTACTCTGCAGAGCGTAACAACGATAGTCCATAATAGCAACAAAAAATGTGGCGGACTTTGTAGTTCCGTGGAAGTCAATTCCGAGCTGAGTCAGCCGGAGTTAAGCGCAGTGTCCCCATCAAGTCCGAATGTCAGCGTCAAGGTGTCACCGGACGACGACAAAGCTGAGACACAAAGGGGCTCAGCTGCGTTGTCATGATGCTGCCTAATTTTCATGTTAACTTGCGTTTCTTCAATTTTAGAGTTTAAATGAAGCAAGGGAATTCTTTCAATCCAACTCAGCAACATACGTTACATATTGTCACGGCTCGCTCGCAATGGAGCCAGATCAGCCTGCGATGACAGCGTCGAAGGCAGACCATCTCTGCGTCCTAGCCCATGGGTAAGTTGCTCCTCCTCTTGAAATAGAATCAATATCTAACGTCTTGCTCTCCGGTAGACTTTGGGGAAACCCCTCTCATATGGGCACCGTCGCTTCTGCTTTGAGGGAACGACACGACGAGAACCAATTACACATCCTTGTTGCGGAGTGCAACTCTGGCAATCTTACATACGATGGGATTGAGGTATGCGGAGAGCGACTTGCGCATGAGATCGAGGAGACATTGGGTCAATTAGAAACCGATGGGCACAAGATCCGGAAACTGAGCGTCGTTGGATACTCCCTTGGAGGGTTGATAGCTCGATACGCGCTGGGTTTGCTATATGCCCGAGATTGGCTGGACGAGATTGAGCCGGTCAACTTTACGACCTTTGCGACGCCGCATCTCGGAGTTCGGGCACCAGTAAGGGGAGCACAGGGTCTATTCTTCAACGGACTGGGTTCTCGGACGGTATCGGTTTCCGGGAAGCAGTTATTCTTGACCGATACCTTCCGTGACTCAGGGAAGCCAATGCTCCGTGTCCTGGCAGACCCGGATAGCATTTTTATGCGAGCGTTGGCGAAGTTCAGGCACCGCTCTGTCTATGGAAATGTGATCAACGACCGCACCACGCCGTTCTATACCACAATTTTCTCCAGCGTCGACCACTTCCCAGACCCGGAGAATGTGAATCCCAACTACGTGGAAGGGTACGAACCAGTCGTGGTTGATCCAAACGTTTATACTCTTCCACTAGAGGCCAAAGAAAAACTGCCTTTTTTGTCTCGTGCGTGGCAGAGCATCCGAAACTTTTTCGACAAGCTTCCGTTTTGGCTCTTTTTCACCCTCTTTGTAACAATTGCCATACCGCTTTTCCTCATCTATGCCGTCGTCCAAACCTTCCGCAGCCGAAAGCGAATACATGTACATGAAGAAGGCACTGGAGATACATTCAGGCGGTACCGTATGCCTGTCGCCGTCAGGAGGGTCCAGAACGCGATGGACGAGATGTTTGAGGGCGCAGCTGCAAGGCAAGATCCTGACTATCTCTCCTCGAGCGCGGCACCTTCAGACCTGGAGGGACAGCTGGAACTGCCTGATATCGACAAGACAAAGTCAGCGGGGAAGGAATCAACCGGGACATCCCAAGCAGAAGGCTCAACTGACCATGGGAACGGAATAGCAAAGGCTACTACTGATGGCACTTTTAATGGGGAAAAGCGACCCACTCTTGCCCTTACCCCAGATCAATTCTCCATGATCAAGTCTCTCAACGCCGTCGGTTTCCGCAAATACCCAGTCTATATCCACAACCACAGACGGTCTCACGCGGCGATCATAGTTCGGTCTGACAAACCGGAATGGAGGGAAGGTCACATTGTGATCAAGCACTGGCTTGATCATCAATTCGAACTATGAAAACAGCGTATTACGGTTTCCACGAACCCAGTTACACAAAGACAAATACAGCGCTTTCCCGTATCCATCTTGATCGCGGAGCGCTGGAGCACTGGAGACCTGGGGTACATGCTCTAAACTCGACCCGAGCCCTATCCTCCCCAATCCAAGTGCAACAACCACCGCACTTTTGACAGGAACCCACTGAACCACGGAAACTCGCCCTCTTTTGTGCTAGGTCCCACTCTGGAAGCGAATCCTTGGGGTAACGCGGGGGAAGGGGAGAGGGAGAGGGAAGGCTGCTCGTGGACGGAGTACGGATCTCCGCCCCGCTCTTAAGAGCCCTGGCCGGCCTTTCGCACCCAATCCTCGGTTCCTGATTGATGGCAGCTGTCAA